CACCGGGTCAGGGACTCAAGGACTGCGGTCAACTACATGGGAGTCCAACGACATAGCCATTACGCTAACTGCTGGTCCCTTGTTTTCCATTCTTTTGTAGCTGATACATGTACTCTGGCAGATTTGAGGATTTTTCTTGATGTTTTGAAATTTCATTCTGGTGTATCTAACAACAGAGTTGAAGCAGAACCATATTTTCCTCATTGACCCATGTAAATCCTGTCTCTTACTTATGCTTTTATTATTTTTCTCACCATTCTCCATTTCTGTTCCCACCTTAAGTAATCATTACAATGTATTTGAGATCCATTCCTTAGTTTTCATAAGTTATTGTAAAAAGTGTATTACTGGGGACCAGCAGATAGCATAATGGCTATGTCGCTGGACTTGCATGTAGTCGACCACGGTTTGAGTTCCAGACCCGGTGGCTTAAACTCACGCCGGGCACGTGTGTGTGCGTGCCCAAGATCCCGAGAGGAGAATGGAGGAGAAGGGATTGCGGTGTGGCCATCCCCCCCGGGGGGGGTGATTTCTCACTTTCTGTCAATCTGTCTCTCTCTTTCTGGTGAGCGCACATACCCGATAGCAGAAACCTCTCCAAAAAAAATGTATTATTGTTTTATGTGTGTGTATTGTAAATTGTGCTGTAAACCAGATTCGGTTTCTTTAATTTTCACTCACCTTAACTGCCATGCAACTGGCTGGACCCATCAGGATTTTGAGCATATGCGCATGTGCACCTGGGGTGTTTTTCAAGCTGCAAGGCTGGGACTTGCACTGCAGTCCAGCATGTGGGATCTCACTTTCTATGCATAGTACTTAACCACTAAGCCCCAAAACTAGCCCAATTCCTTTACTTCTTCTCTGATCTTCCCTGTGCATTTGTTTAGGGGTTAAGTTACATTTTAAAGTGTTGTAATGAAATTTTAGTACACCTCGGATTTGGCATTTGGGGAAATGGTTACCTTGAAAGTTGCGATTTCCATGCCCAGGGTCTTGGAATAAAACGTGGTAGTGTCTCTGATGCTCTTTACTGTCATCACAATATGGTCAAGTCTATTAATCAGACATGGGGAAGTGGTCTCACTGCTGTCCCTCCGTGACTGAAACAAAACAAAAAAACTCATTAAAGTCAGGCTGGACAACATTACCAGTGGTTATGCCTGTGTTTTCCTACCTGTCACTGACCGCACTATATCCTTCCTCTTTGCCCCATTCCAAGAGAACAGTCCTGCCAGAAACCTTCAGTAGTCATACT